GACAATTTGACTTAGGGACATTTATCTTTCAACAACAAAATCATAAAAAAAGCCCAACATAGGGACACTGACCTGACATGAGGACATTGCATGATAAAAATTCCCAATGCATTTTATGAAAATTGACTTTCATTGGGCTTAATTGAAAGAAACAATCCTAACATTCAAACCCTAAGATCTAAGTAAGGAAACTTCATTATTGGTACTTTTCCCATCACTTTCCCATCCATTATTCAGCTAATTAAAAAAAATTACCTGTAGCACAGAGGGACCTCCTTCTCTGTTTGTGACTTTGATGTTATTTTTACAGATGCCAACATTTCAATGAACTGTACAGTGGTATACTATTGAATGCTCCAAATGTTCTTATTGGGTTGAAAATATATTCACTGAATCAAATTCAAGTGGCAAAAAAAATTTTTCATGGAATTCTGAAGAATATTTTTTCCATAAAACACCAAATAAAAATTATATTGTATAATGTAAGTCTATGGGAAAACAAGACTCGACCTGGGGACAATTCAACTTAGGGACACTCTTCATGCACCAATTATGTCCGCATCTGGGGGTCTCACTGTATATACTTTAGCTTGATTTTTCAAGAGTTATCAGAATCTATAAAAACAAAATGTTTTCAATTTTTCTAGAAATGTTGAAAATTGTATGTATCTCGAGACATTGTCCACATGTCGGGCCGGTTATTTTAATTCGTAAGCATCGCTAAGTCGAATCACCTGGATGCCGGTGCGTCCGTATGTCGAAGTCCCATTGTAGAGTTAAGCAGTCAATGTTGAGGTACCGTTCTGTAATGCAGTACCTTTATTCTTTAAAAAATACTGCAAGCATCTTTTTTTCATCTTCCCTCTCCTGACATAAAATAACCGATCAATAAAATCTCATGGCTATAAATTACATAGAACATTTGGCGAGCCAAAAACTCCAAGGAAATATCGAAAATACCGTTGCTGGTCGCATGTCACACTAATCCTCGAACTCCTTGCTTGTACAGGTACTGATAACCTCGTCAAAGTTATATCTTCTTCCTCAAAGTCCTTGCTTGAACTCATAAACGTGTCAGAGTTATATCGTCTCATCTAAATAAAATATATATAAAAAAGGAGGCATTGACCGACGCATTCGGAAGCAGAAATTAATCGCCAGTTGATCAATTCTGACGGAGAGATTTTGGAATATCTATCAAGGTATTAGTACGTGTACTGTACTCGAAACGCGTTTTCCGGAACTTCGTCGTAACTCGCAATAAAACCATGCGAACGACTCGAATTACATCACGTCACTCCCGTTTATGGGCCTGGAAAGAACACTTATCATTACAAACAAAATTGCACGGCCTGTCTTGATGAGCTGTCGGGAATGCTTTTGACTGCATGAGTGGCTTTAAAAATTCTCCTTAAAAATTCTGACCCGAATTGGATTTCAACACCTCATTTTATCGTATTTTTACGACCATGCTCTGACCAAATGGGGTTTGTTCATACTGTCTGGTCAACTGGTTTTCGTCTTGTTAGCAGGAATAATAATCAGCGTTCAATGATCATTCTGAAAGATTCCGTGCGGGTTAAATCAATAACAATGGGCGACTTTGAATATTTTGTTCTACCCGGCTATAACTTTTTTCTTTGGTCGAGAAACTCGAAATGGAAGAACACATGGAACGATTCGGACGGTCTATAGGTGGGCTAAATAATGTACAGTACATTGTTCTTGAAATTTTCTTGAACGCATGAGCTGAAATCGAGTGTTTTCATGCTTTGCATGTAAATTTGTCGCAGAGAATTCTCAAAATACCGCAGATTTAGCTGTTGTTCACTTCGTCATCGAATGCTTCATGAGCCGTTACTCAAAGGATGAATATACAGCACGTTACTTCTTCGTTCCAAAACAGTACTAGCGTATTTTCCAACAACTCGTGGATTTGGATTGCAAATGTGTTCGAACACGATTCAGAGGGGGGGAAATGTGTACGGCATTGTTTCGACGTTCTGGGTACTTATACTGTAGTACTGTTTCACCATAAAGTGACTGGCGGAATTGCACCTGTCGTACGTGTGATTGAATACTGAAGAAATCTCCGCTGCCACAAGGCCACGCCTGATCATGACGTTGCGAGTCCAGCTTTGGAATTGGGACCGTGATTCCAGCAGTGACACCTATGCAGCTCTATATGAAAATATTTTCATAGCGTAGCTATTATGCTCTAAGAGTCGGTAACTTCAAAAATGTGCATCCAGAAACCAGCAGATGTCGGTTCTGATCCTACATCGAAGAGATACAGTGCAACTGTACTTTTGAATCTGGTCGAGATTGCTTCACCATAGAGTGAAGCCGAAGAAAGACACATGAAACCTTTCCCATTTTCTAAGTTCCATTCTACAGTACTACCAATAAGAACGAATTACGAATGTCTCCGTTACGTATGACCGATTTGGGGATAAAATGAACGCATGGACGAGTGCGTTAACGACACACGTGAGTTTTCATCCGTTTGTCATCCATAAAATTGACAAATTGAAAAAGCAGGTTAGAAAAGTATTTTCTGCCATTTCAGAATCGAAGAGCATCCTGCGACCCGTGATTACATTCAATACCAGCACATTCTGAAGCATCTTTCCGCTGAACCCCTAAAACAGATACTGGTACTGTACAAGTGTACACTATAAGGTTGAATTTCATCCTTGAAAAAAAAAAGTATTCCCAGCCACCTCATAAGAAATGCAAACGAGTGGAGGAAGAGATAAGTACTGTACTGTACGTTACATGAGTAAATTTGAAAACAAATAGCGATCCTTTGCACAGGAGGAAAAGATAATTTTCGCTGGAGCTTTGCTGTGCTTGGATTAATTTTCGTGTGTTTCCTATACTGTAGCTGCTTCCACCAGGTTCCAATGTAATATATCATATCATCACAAGCATCAGCACGTGAATATACAAAGGTAGCTATAATCAGTTGTTATAATAAACAACTGTTGACAATAATACGATTATAAGTTTAGTTGTTAAAATATTTTATACAATGAAATACAGTATTAACTGGATCGATCTGCGCTCAGGGCGCGATGTTTTTATGAACTGGCCAACGCAAATCGCCAGAAAAAAAGTGTTTGCGCAAAAAAATGAATTTGGTCATGGTTGAATTTTCAGCCTCAATCGTCTTCTTATAGACAATGTAGGTAGGTAGGAGTGTAACTTTGTATGGCTCTGTTAGGAAAATATTGCCCCATGATTATCCTATTCCAAGAATAAAATACACTGCATGGTACACCCAAAATTAAAAATACAATGCGTTGGCCGGGAATCGAACCCGGGTCAACTGCTTGGAAGGCAGCTATGCTCACCACTATACCACCAACGCTAGTTGATTGAATGAGACAACAAAAAATTTGAAAGTGTGAAAAAGAAAATTATTGATTGCTGTTAATCCATGAAACACCGTCGCACTTCAATTTGGGTGGGACAGGAACAATGAAATTTGCACATGGTTCTATTTTTGAATATTAAATTTTTTCGTTCCATTCTCTTCCAATATTTTTACTTTCCATGCTGGATAAGAGACCATTCAGACGATCAGACCACGTTTCGATGAGGTACAAAATGGTATTTATACTGATATAGTAATTCAATGACGACTCATTATATTGCTTCCCTTTTCTTCCACAATGAATTGAAACAAGCTTTTCATTTGGCACTTTGGCAGTACACCAAAATGGAACCAAAAATGCCAAAAATGGAGCTATATAGTATATAGCTTAATTTTTGGCATTTGGTGATGCTTGGCGATGCATGTTTGTATCTGTAGTATATACAAACATGCATGCATAACCAGTTTATCCAATGACATACAGTACCCTGAAATGTTACTAACCAAAACGTCAGCTCTAATTCACCCAAAACATAATACAAAAATTGTCTAATTCCTCAGAAAGATATGCGTCAAAATATTTTATTGCATTAAAAAATGATTGCGTTGGCCGGGAATCGAACCCGGGTCAACTGCTTGGAAGGCAGCTATGCTCACCACTATACCACCAACGCTTCTTATTTATACTGAGAAATATAAAATAATTTGGCGGTATGAAAAATAAATTGCTGAGATTGTTTATGTTAGGTAACAGTTATGTGTATAGGAGTTCAGCTACACTCAACCTGACACGCAGGCATCTTACAATCACTAATCAATAAATTTGTAAACAGTATTACTACCTATACAACTGTTGCAGTATATCCCAGATAATTTCCTGATGAAGTATGATTAAAGATAATCTATACTGTAATATAATTCCAAAAACGGAGCAGCGTAACTTCGAGGACAGTCAAACGCGCGAGCGCAAACGATTACTATATACACTGCATAACATCAACAGCATTCGAACTTTGAAATCAAGTTTTAGTTCATCCTACCGTAATATGAAATTAAGTACACTAAACTGTGTTACCTCACCATCGTCGGTACATTGAAGTAACCAAGTGGACTATCAGTATCACCAATATGTTCAACACTAGAAAATGTAAGGACGTCAACCCTCAGGGTTTTTATTTTTACTTTTTGCCGTCGGATCGAATGAGAAAATAAATGCTCGAAGGATTCAAAGTATTCGTAGCAGAAACTCAAAGTATTTTCTCGGTAGTTCAGAAGATCGCCACGTCAGAGTACGACACTACATATACTCCATATGTACGTGGATATGGTACATTGTGCTATATTTACAATACCAGTCAAACCCTCATTCTACAGTATGATCAAGATGGAAGTACATTTTCCGCCAGGGCTTTTGTTTCTACAAGCGGAAATGAGCATTTGTTCTACGCTACGTCTTTCTCTCGGCAGTACTTATTGTTTCTTTGTTATAGGTTATCTTCAGTCGAAATAAACACACTTGGTTTATTGCCCGCAAATATTTCGGCCTGCGTCTGGCCGTAGTTTTGGGCAAACAAACAATGAGGAAGGCATTTTCGGCTACAGCGGAAGTAGTGTGAAGAAATAAACCCGGGAAAACAGTGGGCAAAGGAAATTAACGCTTTTGATATTCCAGCATTGATTTTCGCGAGGTGTCCACAGTGCGCAATAATGCGCAGCATGGCAGTAAACCTTGTGCAAATTTTCATTTTGCTGAGTTTCTCAAATCTTGTGTTGCTTGGTATGGTTGAAACTGGACAGAGAAATTACACTGGGTGAGCAACCCTCAATTATTGACAAGGGATGAGTGAATTACAGTAAAACTCAGATCATTCAAGCTTGATGGCCCTAATTGGTATACGTTCTTCGTGAATAAAATTTTTTTACACTGCTGAATAGAATTGGATTAGTTTCGTCTGATCGAACAATTATCCAAAAGCTGACGCAATGGAAGATATTATGATTTTATGCATCATTAAGTCGTTGTCATTTTAAATTTGTGTTTCGTCCATTCAAAAGTATTTTGACGTCAGTTTTCAATTATCTGTAATGATGCTGTATAAATTCGCTTATCCGGTCAACTGAACCGTTCTATTTTTCCGTACGTAAACGTCATTATTTTCTCCTGAATTGATGATTGTACAGTATTTTCCTTTTTTCTCTTTGGGGCGGATGCAAAAATTAAAAATTTGCACATGGATACAGTGAGTAAAAAAAATAGCACGGTAATGCATGTAAGAATCAAAATGGAAAACCTCGTGCAATTAAAAGCCAACTGCATTAAAATTCACAAATACTTTGTATGATTTGAAAATGTAACAGTATGCCATAAAAATGTTGATATTCAAGAAAATGTTTTAGGAAATCTTGCCAATATACGTCCACCGTGTGAATTTTTCTAAACCGAGCTAAACGTTTTGAATTTCTTTTAAAAGTTGTTCTAAACAACGGTGCATTTCGTTGGAATAAAAGCGTGATGCATAGAAGGAAATACTGTATTAGCGAACGAAAACAAAAAAAGCTCTCCTTGTTTTGAAATTTTTTCCTGAACTTCAAGAATGCATGATGACCTCATTGAGGGACAAGCCCATTTAAACATTTTCTTCAGTTTCGTTTAGGTTTTTTTTCGAGATTACTGTAGTATTAACGATACTATTTCTTTTGGAATTGATTCCAAGAATATCAATAGCATTTGACATGTCTCACAACCAGCAGACAAATTTTATAACTAAATTTCAGTTTCACGCTGTTCGGGTCATTTTCATGTCAATTTTTATCACAACAATAAAAAGCGATTCGACTTAAACTCATCACCTGGATTGTGTGTTTTTTTTTTAAACTCGACTTCATTCAGCAGCAGGAAATGCCATCTACATTCTATACGATTAAGAACCGAAGCCAGCACGCATTTTCTCACGGAAGTCGGCGGAACTATTAATCACTTCATCATGATATGATCACAAAGAATATGTTTCCTTCGTCCAGATATCATGTCATCCGGACATTCCCCTTGGATACAGCGGAAAGTGAGCAACTGCTGAGTGACCTGGACAAATGGGCGAATGGTTCTAAGGCTGCTTACAGCGTGTGGGGAAGTCCGAATGAAGACCAGTTGGATTTAGCGGTTCATCCAGACAAAGTAAAAGATGTCATTGACTTGCTCACTGCAAAGCACATTCCTTCCATCATCCTCATCAGTGATGTCAAGAGGTAAAGATCGTCATTCCAGCACTTTTCACGCATCAATTAAAACAAAAATAGCAATATTTTCATGCAGCACGTCGGATGTTGGATTTCTACGCGGAGTTAAATTTTTCACTCTTTGTGCAGATGGAGGGCTTTTTGATGCCCTCAGATCATAACAGAAAACTATTTCAGTCATTTCCTGCATTCAATTTTTTCAATAGCTTTAGCACTGCACAGTATTTCTATACCATTGGTAAGAAATTGAAAAAAATTGCGTCATGCAGTCGCCAAAGCCGTCAATACGGGATTTCGCAGTTTCCGATTTTGTATTTGAAAAATATTTATAAGATCTCCATATACAATCAGCTATAGTAAAAACTAGCTGAAAATGTTTTAAAATTACAGTATTTAGTGGGAATCCATAAGAATGGTTCGCGATCATAATTAAAGGCTTGCAGGTGAAAATTTTGAGGATGTGAAGAAGTAAACAAAACTCGTTTCACATGTGGAATGCTTCAATTTTTGACTACGAGAGTTGTGGAATGTATTTGATTTGGCATAATAAGTTGAAGAAGTTGAAGATCCGCGGAGAAATATTTCGAAGTATACAGTAATTACCGAACAATATATAATTGAATAATTAGTGAAAAGCGATGATAAAGTTTCCCAAATAACTGTGGACAGTCGATGCAACACCAACGTTGAATCAGTTACAACACTAACAAAACGCATTTTTAAAATTTTTTTGAAGGATTCTGAAACGGTCCATGGTCTCGTCTTGCTTAGACTCAGCAGAATATGAATACAACCGTGGATACGATTTGACCGACCCGTTGAAAATGAACTGGTGCACCTATCACCGACTCTACGAGGTTTTTTTCTTACAAAATTAAAGTTTTAAAATTCACTAAAGCCGTTATAAGGAGCTTCCTATTCAACGAAACAGATTCAGGATTTTATGGATGAAGCTGCTGCTAATAATCCGAAAAAAGTCACGCTGGAAAAGATTGGCAACTCTTCCGAAGGACGAAATATCGAGCTTCTTCGGATCAACACTGCAAACGCTTCGAATGCGATTTGGATTGAAGCAGGTTCAATTTTTCTGTTTATCAAAATTAATTTTGCATTGTTTGACATTTCACGTGGATATTGGCAGGAATGCATGGAAGGGAATGGATTGCACCAGCGGTTGTGACCTACTTCATCAAAACCCTGATCGACGATTACTCGAAACATAAGCAGATAGTCGATGCCTTCCAGTGGTATATTCTCCCTGTGATGAATCCGGACGGTTATGAATATTCCCACGTCGAGGTAAGAGTTACAAATAAAATAAATAAGCTAAATGTGTTTCATTTTTCTGATGACGATTTTCATGAAATTTCAAAGGATCGAATGTGGACGAAAACTAGAAGTGATCACGTTTCAACCTTGGGCTGCAGAGGCGTAGATCCTGACAAAAACTTCAATTTCCAATGGATGGGTTTGTCTCAGTTGATCAGTGAATAATCTTTTTTCACCTGGGCTCTTCTGCACTTCAAGATCTTCATCTCCCATTGCATCTCCTGGAAATTATTGAAATTAAAGTAGATTAAATAATACGTTACTCAATGTATAAAAGGCTCAAAACAGAAGTGATGCAGCGGAGCAGAAGAATTTGAGAATGAAAAACAAGTGTGAATAACTCCATAATTTTTGTAAGAAGACCATTTTTATTCTCATTCTACCACAAAATGATTACAGTAAGTCACAAGGTAGGTATAAAACATCACATTTTCGCCACATTCATGGCAAATATGCTCAGCTTTGAGAATAATTTCAAAATTCACTCCGTGGCTCGGAAATCTCAAGATACTATGATCACAATCCTCTAAGGCTCTAACGTTAATACTGTAAATGGTGAATTCCCGAATTCGTCATTTTTTTCTGTCTTTTCGTGTCAGTTGGTGGAAGCCAGGACAAGTGTTCAGACAATTACTCGGGTCCTGCTCCGGAAACTGAACCGGAAGTGCGGGCAGTTCGAGATAAAATAATGCAAGCTGCCCAACGGAACAGGTTCATCGGGTTCTTTTCTTTCCATTCTTACGCCCAGGTCTGGGCAGCACCCTGGGGCTGGACTCGTGCCCCACCGAGAACATATCCCATTTTGGTGAGATAATATAATTAATGGACTGAAAAGTAGGAATATTTTCAGCGGTTCCATCATAATGCATAGCAAGGCAAAAATGAAGGGGAAATACAATACACTATATTGGCATTGATTCTTAACACCTGGCTTTTTATTTGAGCGCAGGTGATAGAACGTGATGGTATTCGAAAAAAATTATCTGGGTTTTGACATATTCCCTAAGATTGGTTCGTAAAATGATGCGTTGTCAGCATCATTCTGTTAAGAGTATTGCAGGTCATACATGACATTTCGTACGCAATCTACGCATGTACCCAAGGAATCTGTCAAATGAATGCTAATTATCGGCAGCTTTTATTCTGATTAGACTGGCCAGCACGAATTTCACTTTAAGTTATTATATTTTCGTTTTAATCTTTCAGTGAAGTACAAAAAAACAGTTTATTCGAGCATTTCTCGAGAGGTCATTTTTTTTCTTGCTTTTTCGTCCCCCGTGTGATTAGCATGAGTTCGACTTTTGTACTAAAGACAGGAAATATTGTAAAAACAGGGGAAAATTTCACGAATCCAACGTGTGCAAAGGTGGTTTTTGAGAGATCATCAACTTCGTTCGTCCGATGGGCATACCTTGAAGTTTTCTAATATGGCGGGCTTTTTCAAGCCAAACTTCGAATTTTGCGGGCCAAAAAAAAAAAAGAGCTGAAAATGTGTCCAGTGCGTGACAAAACTGACTTCTTCTATATGCTTATTTCCGGTCTTCGTCAGATGCGAGTGGCAAGAGCTGCTAGAAATGCGATTCAAAAAGTTTATGGAACTCAATATGAATTGGGAACCATCGCTGGGAAGCTTGGTGAGAAGTGTCTGAAATATAATTTGATATTACAATTTTATTTTTAAAAATCGCCGCTAAATGTCTGCATTGCTGTCGTTGAAAAAGTTCTCGCAGAAATTTGGAGACGATATGAATTACCAGAGGATAATCTTTCCACTTAGATTTTTAGTGCGGTAACTGTATTCATTTAATCATTGCATTTGTACAAAATGAAGGATGACTTTTGCTCGGAAAATTCAGTAAATGTATAGCGGCACTTGAGGATTGCTGGTATTATAAATAATTAATATCTCGACTTCAATTTGCGCGCATAAAATGTTCAGCCCAGTATTTTAGGTCATAGGTATATTTCTTCTTTTTTTTACGGCGGATTTTACCACGTTTTACTCGACTTGCAGATCGGCTGAATTAGATCATTCCGCTGCCTTCGTTGAGTTGTTTCCGTTCAGACTCGAAAACAGTCAAATTATCAAAAAGTTTCTGTAAATTTTCATTTTCATTTGCAGGAATTGTATCGGGTTCGTCGACTGGCTGGGCATTCGGTGCAGCAAAAATCCCTTTCGTGTATCGAATCGAACTCCGCGACGAAGGCAACTACGGTTACGCACTTCCACCAGAGCAAATTTTACCCACGGCAGTCGAGACGTTCGCTGGCTTGAAAGCGGCTGTAGAGGAAATCCTTAAAATTCTCAACGAGAAAAAGTCAGTCATGCTTACTTTGCAGCGAGCGAGAAAGCATGACGTCACCGCGAATTCCAGAAAAATGGTGAATGCCCGTTCGATAGCGCGAAAAGGCGACAAGAATGAAGTGAAACCCGAAGAAGATGCGATGGGTGACAGAAAAGGAGGGAAACAAACACATTTTGGGCGAAAAAATGATGGACAGCATAGGCGGGTTCGGAAGGTGGTTTCCAAGAAGAATAGCAAAGAATCTTCGAACAGATCAATCCTGGAAAAACTTGTTTCCCGATGGGATTTCTGGGGCAATTACCCACCATGCTGCCAGGAGACAACTTGAGCTTCTGTCTGTGTCATCCGGAAAGAAGAAAATAATATTAACCGATTGGAAAATGACAACAGACGCGATCTACTTGCTGCAATATCTGCTATAATTATTGTATAGAGAAAATTACGGTATTCAACAGTTCCGCCATCCGGTCGTTATTTGAAATCTGAAAGATTTTGAATCATACGTTTTCTGTATTTCAATGTAGTGCTGCCCTTCGTTCGAAAATTCATATTGCAATTCGAAGAACATTTCTAGAACAAGACCGAAGTGCGATTAAATAGTGTCCTACGCTCCGTTTTACTTTTATGCATGCTCCATTTCTCTAGCAGAACATCAAGATTAACCTGCTGTAGGGAAATATCGAATCACATGGATGTCACCGTTGAACAAAAATATTACTGATTTCTCGATCGAATGAATTTAAAAGAGGCAAAAGTTTTTGAGATGTACCACCCACGTTGTTACATACTGTACCTTGTAAAAAAAACCTTGAGCAGATTCTAAAAAATATCTGCGTTGGCCGGGAATCGAACCCGGGTCAACTGCTTGGAAGGCAGCTATGCTCACCACTATACCACCAACGCTTGTTATTAAACTGAGGAAAAACTTTAATTCTTTGCCAGTATCAGAAACAATTGACATCTAGTAAATTATTATGTTACATTTCAATGGTTTAAAGGAAAGATAAATTTTTACTGATTTCCTGAATCTTACAAGACAAGCTGGAAACTTCCATATTCTATCCTACAGAAGACAACAAGAATACTGTACTTATTATATACTGTAGTACAAGTCTAGACGGCTGCCGGTATCTATACTCACTGAATTGTCTTAAGCAGGATCTAAATCCATCATTCCACTGATTCGATTCCACGTACAGAAGATCCGTCCCAAGCAGTACCCGGTAAACGACGCAGGTTGAAAACGACGCAAGAAGGGCTTAAGCCTTTGAAATCCTCTCTGGCGCCGTTCTGAGGTTGCAGTCAGCGGTCAGTCTTGCCAACAATATTTCAGTAAATTAACTGCACTCCAGGTGCCTCGAAAATCCAATGAATTTCCCAGGCTTTCTGTGGGAGAAGTCCTAGGTGCTCCAAAACACTTGAAACAATGTATTTAATCTGTAATCTTCTAATCCCTCTTATTTGGAGCATTTATTGGGTGGTCTCTGCATTTCTCTTTAACAATTTAAGGAAACTTTCTACACTTCCAAATATTTCCTATGTAACCTGCATATTTTCCTCCTGAGCTCTCAGTATCCATAGCAATTTTGGCTTACTTTATTGTGTGTTACGTGATGATATTCTTTTCATTTCCTATTCTGATACTTTCTATTTATGCCCAACTGTTTTTTTTTTT